TTTTTCGGAATATGGTTTTATAAATTGTTCCTTTAAAGATTAAAGTATTATTAAATCTGACTGTCTTAATACTATAAATATAAGGCACTGATTCAGCTTAGATATCAGAAAATGAGGCTTTTCTGAACCTCCTTTACCTAACGATTAATCATTTTGATTGTTTGTCCTACGCACATATGAATACAATGTTTTATCCAGGACAAAAAAAACATACATAGCATAGGACTGACTTTAGGTGGCTTCTACCCTAATTTGTATAGCCCAGATATATTTGACTTTCACTTTCATAATTATCCAAAAAAAAGTTATCAGTTCAATCTATCAGACACAACTCTTCATTTTCAATTGCCGATTTAATTTGGGGATAGCTGAGGAACAGGAAGGCAGAATAAAGGAGAAAAAAAACCCAAGGAATTACTTTCACAGTTGTTTTCCCTGTAAATAAGCAACAATATACAATATACAAAAGCAACAAAGAGCTGCAAAGTGACAAAAATGAAGTAGTATAAATACTCCATGCATTGCTTTTTTCCCCAGGGGTAGAGTCCAATTGAGATTCATTCTTGGTGCTTTGTTATCAGTGTGGTTTTATTAACAGCAGTAGGGAAGTGGTTTGCCCTTAGTACCTTCTGAGATTTTTTGCAGGGGGCTTCCAAGACCACTTTCGTGCCTTGATATTCCTTGATGGCCTTATATCAAAGTAAGAACCAATCCTAGCCTAGTTTTGCTATTTACTGTGAAAGAGAATAAACAAACAAATAGAATTCCCTCCCCCCCAATTTAGATGCCAGTTGAATGAATTAACAAAATGACTTGCCTGTTTAATACACTGTTTAGCTCCTGTATATTTTACGATTTGAGAGAATCTGTTGAGTTCACAAAACACGCTAAGCCAAAATTAAACCACGTGATAAAAATAATGGGATATATAAACTCAGTCAGCTGTGTTTATTTAATTAGCCATGGTTAAACGAAGGTATTAAGTTGTTTAGAAACACATTTCCCAAGCACATGGTGGCATTTGGGCCAGTAACAACTGGAATAATTTGTTTAACAAAACAGCCGTTATGTTTGATACAATCAAGTTCAAATAGGGCTTCTTAAGAATCTGGCTCAGTTTTAAGTCAAGCTTATGTTCTCTGTAACCTTGCTACAGGCAAACCAAGGCTAGGATGCGTGGTAAATGATTTACTGTGATAAAAGGTGAGAGGAGTGTTAACACGGAAGACTCTAAATTTTTTTGTGTGGGGCAGGCCCAATGGATTGTTTACTCTAAGAAAGCAAGAGGAGTCTTGTATTATGTGCACTGAGGTTATCACTGCCCGTAACTATTGAGAGCTGTAAAAATAAGCGAAGGTTGGCAACTGCATGTGAGGAACATTTATTGCCTGGAGTTGCCGGTTGGTTGCCTGGAGGAACCACTGAGGTACTTCGGTTATTTTTTATTTTATTTTTTTTGTTATTATACAGGTAGTCCTCGACTTACAACAGTTCATTTAGTGACCGTTCAAAGTCATAATGGCACTGAAAAATGTGCCTTACGACCGTTTTACATAGTTACAACCTTTGCGGCATCCCCATGATCATGTGATCAAAATTTGGATGCTTGGCAACTGGTTCATATTTATGCTGTGTCCCAGGGTCATGTGATCACATTTTGCAACCTTCTGACAAGCAAAGTCAATGGGGAAGCCAGATTCACTGAATATCCAGGTTACTAACTTATCAACTGCAGTGATTCACTTAACAACTGTGGCAAGAAAAGTTGTAAAATGGGACAAAACTCACTTTAACAAATGTCTCACTTAACAACAGAACTTTTGGGTTCCATTGTGGTTGTAAGTCAAGGAACTTCCTGTATTAATTTGCTAATTGTCTTTATAGACTTGGTGATGCATCATTTCTTCTGTGCTTGACAGTTGTGGTTATTGTTGAACCTAGTTCTCTAACAGCAGGACAGATTGCTCTCCCGTCTAAAACTGTACCAGGAAAATTAAAGGGGAAAGGGAAGAAAATGACTGCAAGAGAAACCAGTGAAACAAAAAGAGGTGATTGAAAGCTTGTCTTTTGTTGCATTACAATGGAATATGGGAGCAATACCAGGGAATTGAAGGAAGAAAAGAATAAGGTACCATAATATGCTTGGGAATTCTTTTTATTGGAAACAGTTCTGAGTATTATAGGTGCTTCATTAAAGCTGACCAACATTTTTCAAGCTTCCACACAATCCTGAAGATGATATTCCTTTCCGAGTTGCTTTTATTTGAATGGGGGGAAACCCTGAAGAAACGTATGCTGGCTTTTGAATAGGAGAGAGGTGTGGTGTTCCCATGATCCCTAAAGCACTTTTCCCAAATCATTTTTGTGGTTCTTAATCCAGCTCTTCCCTTCATTGCCAGAGAAAAGGGATCAGCTTGAAAACACAAAACGATATTAAACTTAGAACAGCTTTTAGCTAATTTTCCTGTTCTAGAGAATAGACAACACTTGGAACCAATGTTACCTTTATGCCATTTTGTTGTCTTCCTCTTGCAAATTATAACTTTAATTAGAAATTGGAGAAGATCTTATTTATCTCTCTAGCAAGGGTAAATTCTATGTCCAAAAATGAGCAACTATAAACTGGGTATGTCTGAGCCTCTCTGGCAAGAAAAGTTGGCAAAGAGTCTGGTGGTAACAATAGCCAATTCGGATGGTTTTAAAAGAGGACTGCGCTGTGCAGGTTCATAGAGGATTAGACTTATTAGTGAGTAGGAATTTTGATGGCTGTTTATCATTAAATGAAGGAAGAGAGGTGGTCTGTGGGATCACTTCTCTCCCCTCATTTCTGTCTATCTCTCAAAGTCTGATAGAGCAGACATATTTTATGTCCCATCCATTAATCAATGTTCTCAGATGAGGTCTTGTAAACAGGGTCTATGACAATTCACTACAGCCAACTCACCACGGCCAACTCGCCATACCAACTTGCCGCAACCAAGTCACTGTGGAACAAGAGTTATACTAATATCAAAGAAATGGTGGAATAGAATAATTAAATAAAGGATGCAAAAGGAGGGACAAAATGAAATTTGAATGACAAAAATTAAAATATTTTTTTATTTATTTTAAATAATTAATTTGAATTGTCTAATTGTCCCGCCGTGAATTGTTCTGCAGCAAGTTGGCTGTGGTGAGTTGGCTGTGGCAAGTTGTCCCACTCTGATATAAGTATGCCTTCTCTGTTACAGTACCTCGTATATGGAGTAGGTCTTTGATATTCAAAGAAAACCTGTTGTGGCCCCAGTCATCAGCACCATGCCTTAAATGCTGGGAACCAATAAAGAAAGATACCACACTCTAGACAAGAATTGCAATTTTCCCAATTGGAAACTAATTGGCCACTATGTTAATTAGAATGCTGGACTAGATAGTGTTCTTATGTCATCTGAAGTATTGAAATATTCTTCTGAATAAACACATTAGGGTTATTATATTTGTGTCCAAACAGTATCAAAGCATATACTGATTATATTATTTTTTTCCTTTAAAATCTTAAGATTTTTTTAAAAGCAGCAATAATTTCAAATATAGTGTTCATTTAGTTTGCCATATGGGTGGTAGACTAGGCACAAATTGTATCTTTGATTTGTGCCTCTCCAACATAACTCTGTCTTCAAGTTCTAGCATTAATTCAGTCTTGGGGGGGAAAAAAACAATATTGGTTAGGGGGAAAAATAACCAGAGTATGGGAAAAAATCTTTACATAAGACCAAGAGGCTGAACATCAGGGCTTCCATTAACTAGAATTGTTGAATGGGCAAGGACTGTGACCTAAATAATACATTTTATATTACATTCACTTGCCATTGCCTTCAGTCAACAAGCTATATTATACAGGATTGACAGTTTTTCCCCCAATAGGAACTCTGTGCAAATAAAGAAAAAAAGGAACAGCCAAGTGAATTATGTATCTGTAAATGAATTATCAAATAAACAGTCAGTAGAGGAAAAATGGGCATACTCAGCCCTGGCATAATGTGGTAAATCATGCTACACAAATTACCTTCCTAGTGCAACCCAATATTATTTTGAATAAAACCTTTCAGGAAACTTAAAGATTTAGAATTCTGTGAAATTCCTTGGCAACATTGATCTCACTGACATAACTTGATGCAGTGGTAATTTATCAGTTGCCATTATTAATGGCTTTAGTTTTTCATTTCAGTGATGTATGGAGGGCTCATTGTAGTCTCCATGGTGATTTTGTACAATTGTATCATTGTACAAAATTAGTTGCCAACATGCAGTGACATCTTTTCACCAAATAAATAATGAAATAGGAATAACATTTGAAAAAATGTTTTTATACACACACACACACATACATTCAGTGCTAGACATAATAATCTAAGTGGGCTAATTCTCATGGTGTTTCCTATTCTTTTGTATGTGTGGCAAAGAATTCCTTCATATAAATATAAAATAGGCTCAGCAGATTATTTCATTACTGTCAGTAATTTACTGAGTGCCCTCATAGAAGATTATGTGTCTTTTCCCTTTTATCCATCTGTGAATTATTCTGAAAAAAATACCGATTATTATGACATTTCAAGGACTCAGAAATTCAAGTAAGGGAAAGAAAATGTTCTGTCTTAAGACTAAACCCTTATTTACTTAGAAATTAAGATCCCATTGCAGAAATTAGTTATTTCTTTACACAGAGGTTCTCAAACTGTAGTTGTTGACCAGAGTCCCAAGCAACTTAAAGAAGGGCCTGCAATATGCTTCAGGCATGGGATTCAGGCTTGGATCATGAGTAGTACTAAGCTTACAAATCAGTTGTCCACCTGCTTACATTTCTTAGTAGAGGTGCAAGGCTTCTGTGTGTCAAGATCCTTAAATTATAGCGCGAAAATCTGAAAGGAATATTTGTATACTGTCATGTTTATTTGGTTTAGAAAATGTTTACATTTAGGCATTTACATCTGTTCTGTTAAAAAAAAAGTTGGTAAGGTTTTTGTAATTTGATTTTATTGAAAACTAATGCATTTGTGGATGGAAATGGATTGACCTCATTGAGATGGACCAGTCTCTCATTTCTGCATACTGTAATAATACTTGATATTTGTTGATCATGTAGCAAACTATTGCCACATATTGGCAATCCACCGGATGTCTTAAAACTAAGTACATGGCCCCAGCATCTCTGTGAATGTATTAGTGTTATAATGTATCTGTTGTTTTTGAAATGTCTGCAGAAACAAACCTGTTAGTGAGAGTCAGTGTTTTCCTTTATTTTCCTCTATAAAATTGTACCATTCTATTACTGTTTTTCCTTGAGGAAGAACAAGGAAAGTTTGAAAAAGCACCTTTGGGACAACCATGACCTGGATGACTGAGAATCTCCTTAGAAAACTGTATGTAGTATATTTCTTGCCAAACAGAAGCCCAATGAAATAATGCCTTTTATTTATGGGGAGGGGAGTTCCCATACAACCATATATGATTTATCATGTTAGAGGGTCACATTATCTCAATAATTTGAAGACTACCACCTCTTTTAACAATAAGGCCTATTAGAAGGAAATGAATCATTGCATTTTCCCTACTCCTACAGAGGCATTGATATTTTATCATATTCACATGTCTATGGAGAAGGCAAGGATGGGGAGACTCTCTGGATCTCATCTAAAAGCTAGATCCACCATCCCAACAACCAGATGACATTATAGCAACCACAAGACTATTTAGGTGATTATGCAGCACAAAGCACCTTAATATCACCCTGTCTTTTACTGTAAAGGATCCCTCGGAACTTAACATTGTATTAAGCAATCCACACAGGACATGTTAAAATCTTCCATGCCTCCAAGTATCAAATTCTTCCATCAATAAATTGATTGCTAAAATGGTACCTACAGACCATTAAAATGTATTTAAAGTGTATTGGACTCTCCAAAGAGTATATTTTAAAAGATGGACATCAGATTTTCTATTTTGGAAGTGCAGTATAAAATGTTTGAGGATTCACCAACCCATATGATATAATCATTGGATAAATTGATATCTCTTTGGAATAATGTGTTAATATGTATAAGCAAATTTGTAGGAAACTCTCTAAACGTTAAGGATGTTAATATGAGGTTGAACTATTTACCAAAATGTTGGAATCTGTACATCAGGAATTGTAGGTATATCAAATGGAGGAGCTAGAAGAATCATATTGAGAAATTGGAAAAATGATACTTAAAATGTTAAGCAGTGTTTGTCAAATACATGATCTATCTAGTTTGAAAAAGGCAGTATATTTTACTAATCAGGAGATGTTATTATGATAGATATATTTTGTAATATATAAGATAGCAGTATATTTATTACTAGCTGAATACCCATGGTCCGCTACAGCTTGATAAACTGACACTTAGAGTTTGAAAATTAATGAGTATTATTTATTAATGAGGGAGAGGCCTCTCCTCTCCCCTTCTCTCCCTCAGGCTGGCCCCATAGATCCTCTCCTCTCCCCTTCTCTCCCTCAGCCTTGCCCCACAGAAACGTCTCCTATCCTATCCCCTTCTCTCCATGAGGCTTGCCCCACAGAAGCCTGTCCTATACTATCCCATTCTCTCCAGAGTTATTTTCAAGTGGGGGAGGGGAGTAGAACGTGTAGCTAATTAGCATCAGAGCGTGTTATAATAATGTAGGAAATACTAATGCTCTGATGGTCATTTTGAAAAATCCTTTCTTAGTGAGCACCTAGAAGCTAAGAGGAACATACGTGGCAAATTTCAAGCTTGTAGGCTTTACGGTTCTGGAGATTTCATGATTAATGTGTGAGTGGTTTTCGCTTTTATATATATAGATTATTTATAAGGAATGTTTTTATTTTTTTCTGTTTCTTAGTTTGTCTGGGGTTGTATTTTTTCTAACTTTCTTTTGGTTCAGTCTCTGTTTAAAATAGAAAAGGGTTTTAAAATATTTTCATCATGCATGTTAGAAATGTAAAATAAATCTATGAATGTACAAGCAAGTTCAGGGCCTCCGTCAACTGATTGATGTATCATCATTTTGAATCCTCGGCACCACATAGATACAGATGTAGATGCTCTCCATGACAATTTATCCCTAACTTGTTCTTTCAAGTCTCCCAAGGATGCACATGTTGCCTTTGTTCATCCACCTTACTCCTCTTCTCTTCTCTTTCCTTCCAACTAGAAAAGAGTTAATTCAGCACAATGCTAGTGGTTTTCTTTTGCAGAAGAAATGAAAGAGGAACCAGAACCAGTCCCAAGTAAATAGATGCATCAGTAAGCAAAGCCAGGAATAAGCAACTGCTTATCAGTTTGTCCAAGTCATACAGGTCCTTAGTGCTAACTATAAAACAGACCTTTGCCTCTTCAGTCTTTCCAACTCCTACAGTAGTTGCACACAAAGAGCAACAACTTCCTTCTTTCGTGAAACCCTTTCTTTATCAAAATTATGACTAAGGTGATTCTTGGAAATCATTGCATATGACAAACAATAGTGAAAACAGAAGTAGACTCAGGAAGATACGGAAGCTGATAAATCTAAACCTCATAATTCCTTACATAAGCAAGAGAAGGGGCACTCCAAAGCAATTAACAACATCTGTATTCAACTGAAAGAGTCAGAAATTGGGCCTTGAGTCTCATTAGATAGTAAAGTGGGTTTTTTTCCAGGGCAGATTTATGGGATTGTGAAGGGGTTTAGAATTGTTGGGCTGCATTAATCAGAAATAAATAAGCAGGGCACCCAGCCAACCATTGCGTTGTATACCCACTGAATGGTGAGTTTATCATACTCTTCCAGAATATCATTTTCTTTCCCTCCTCTTTCAATAGTAGCTGTTTACCAGCCTGTCAGCCAGCCCTTCACAGCAGCACCAGATTCTCTGCTTAGTCATATCAGCATTTACTTCAGCTGCATATTACTTTGAGTAGATCTACATTGGTTTGGGCACATAAGCAAATCACTCCCAAATTTCTCATAAAAGATCAAAATGGCCATTACTTTTAAAAAGCAGTCTGGAGTTGCTGAAAGAAAGGCTAAAAATGAGTGGCTTCATGCCATCTCAGATATAAACGTCTCTAATTTAAGCTGGAGTTGGGAGAAAGCAGGTATCAGAATTGGGACCATGGCTCATCTATTCTTTAGAGGCCAAGAAAGCCAAGAATTGCACTATGTTTAATTTAATAATAAACACTTATAGGAAAAGAAATCTATTGTTTTACACCAAGCATAATTGGAGCACTCAAAGAGATACATAAAAGGCTTCCTCAATATCTGGAATTATTGAGTTTATCAGACCTGAACACCCTAATTTTACAAAAACCATTCTGCATGGAATTGCAAAGAAAGTTACACAAATGACTGCCTCTCCAGCAGGACAAAAACTGATAGGAGATATGTTGGGAGGTGAGAAAGCAGGAACCCCAATGAATCTACAAAGTGGGCAGACAACTCTGAATATGATTCAGGAGGTACTTCTGAAGACTCAAGAATCGATTGGAAAGAATCATGAGGAATTGAAAAATGACATGGACGAAGTTAAAGGCGCCATAAGAAAATTAGATGATAGAATAGGAGAAATACAAGAGACAATTGTTAACGATCAAGCAATAAAGGGTTTGAAAGTCAAACAGGAGGAATACAAGGTCCAAGCATTCGCAGATCTAGTTTTTATCATGGAAGATCCTTTGGAGACTGGAACCATCTTGATAAATGAAGTTGAAGAATTTGGTACAGTAGTGGGGCTTAAAATAAATAAGGAAAAAACCAAAATGTTAATGAAGAACTGTACAAAAAGACAACAGGAAGAATTGGAAAGGAAATTGGGGATTCAAATTGATAAAAAGGTGAAATATTTAGGAATTTGGCTTACGGCAAAATGTTCTACAATAAAAGAAGACAATTATGACAAACTAACACAACAAATACAAAAAGATTTAGATATCTGGGCCAAATTACAGTTATCCTTAATAGGTAGAAAGCCGTAATAAAGATGAATGTATTACCTAAATTGTTATATCTGTTTCAATCGATACCAATTAGACTAGGGAAACCGTTTTTTTAACATCTAAATAGAATAATAGGTAAATTTATTTGGCTGGGGGGAAAAGCCCTAATAAAACATAAACTTCTGCAGGACTCCAGAACCAAAGGAGTATTCGGCCTACCCGATTGGGAATTATATTATCAGGCAGTTGCAATAACTTGGTTAAAAGATTGGGTTCAAGTAAGAAACAAGAGAATATTAATATTGGAAGGCCATGACCTCCAATTGGGATGGCATGCGTTCTTTTGGGAAGGGAAAATTAAGACACATACATACTTCCAGAGACATCTAGTGTGAAATGCTTTGATCAATATTTGGAATATTATAAAGAAAAATCATTATATGAAAGTTCCAGTTTGGATATCAACGATGGAGGCCATAATCTATCCCAACATATTGGTCTTAAATAAAATAGTAAGATATTCGGACCTATTAGATGAACTCAGAAATTTAAAGTCAGAACAGAATCTAATAAAACAAGGAATAAAAATTGACTGGTGGCCATACTTACAGATCAAAGCAAAATATAAAAAAGACAAGGAACAATTTGGCATATACAGAGAACAATTGAAACTTGATAAGATATTATACTTAAGTTTTATTTATAAATATTTCTCATTGCTGTGCAACTTCATCAGATATAGACATATTTATGTCAATCTCAGAATTGAGATTTTGCCAATCTCAGAATTGAAAGTATGGGTATTGCATATATAGGTATATGTTATTTGATTATAGACGTCTAACGCTGTCTCAGCAATTATTATTTTATTATTATTTTTTCTTTTATATGGTGTTTTTATATCCTTGTAAACTGCCTTGAATTGCCATGTGCGAGTAGACAGAAATATAAAATTTCTGACAAAATGAAAGAAAGATCTAAAGGTGTGTTAAATATTGGTTAAAAGTGAGTTGAAATGTCACCAAGTACTATTTATGTAAATAGTTAAAACACTGCACATCCGATACTAATTGAAAATGTTATCATACTTATGTGTTTTATGTTTTATGTTTCTGTTTGAATGTTTGTTTTTCCTTTTTCCTTTTTTTTTTACTTTTTATTCTTTTTGTTTTGTAAAAAACCTCAATAAAGTTTCTATAAAAAAAAAAAGAAATATAAAATTTCTAAATAAATAAATCAATTCAAACCATTGCAAGTTTTTTTAAGCAGCTCTCATTTCCAGTCTGCTTTTCAGGAACTGTTTTGTTGTATATCTATGAGAACAACTGGAATGATAATGTCAAAAATTAAGTTAAGGAAGTTAAGGATCAATGTTTGGAGGGAAGGAATGATGGTGGGGGGGGGCATTGCTTTTCTAAGAAAGTGAGGCAGACGTTTTGAGTGATGAAAGCGAGAGTTGGGCTTGTGATCCTGGAACAGTTATAAGGACTATTTTGTCTGTCTTTTTCAGATTAATTCGGTTCTACCAAAGCACATACCAACATGGCCTCATGGAATGGCAGCAACCCAGCAGACAGGAGAAGAACAGGAGAAAGGCGCAGATCATCTCAGGAAACGACATCAGGTAAACATGGTTGCCTCTGGTGATGAATAACCGTTGGCAAGCTTCTTAAGCTTGACAGTAGCAATGGCTTTTGCTAAGAACATAGCTCTACCACATTTTAATGCTTTTTGTAGGAATTTATGTAGCAAGATCAACTCAGATCAGAAGAACAAATGGATCATGGCATAGGGTACATCAAACACGCCTCCCGAGGCCAAATCAGAAGCACCAGGATTTAAACAGAAGGTGGATTAACATATAGGAAGGGGAGCAACCCTTCACTTCTTGAAGTAAATTATCTCTGAGTATACTAAGAATTACAATCCTCACCTCCTGCTTCCCAGTGTGCCCCATCCCGAACATAATACCTAATTAATACCTAATATTGATAATGCCCCTGGATTTAGGGGGGTTCTAATTTGGAGCAAGCTTGTTTAGTACTTTTGTATTCAGATTTTGAGCAGGCATGTTAGGACTTTCTGTCTTTCTTTCTTTGAATTAATAAGTGTGCAGTAACTGCTTTTCCTATTATTTAATTCTCAAATTCAAAAAACCTACATCCAAACCAGGGATGAAATGCTCCCGGTTCGGACCGGATCACCTGATCCGGTAGTGATGGCGGTGGGTGGTTCAGAGAAAATCCCTGCAACTCCCCCCCCCCATGCCCAGCTGAGCCGCACGATCATCAGAGGCTTTTTTTTTTTTTTTTACTTTTAAAAGCATTTTTTCTACAACCTCTTCCGATGAAAAAATGCTTTTAAAAGTAAAAAAAAAGCTTCTGATGATCGCGCAGCTCAGCTGGGATCATCAGAGGCTTTTCAAAGCATTTTTTTCTGCAACCTCTTGGCCGAAGAGGTGGTAAAACAAATCCTTTGAAAAGTCTCTGGTTATCCCAGCTGAGTTGCCTGATTGGCAGAGAGGTATTTTTTAAAAAGCCTCTCTGACGATCCCAGCTGAGTTGCCTGATCAGCAGAGGCTTTTCAAAGCATTAGAAAAAAATGCTTTGAAAAGTTTTTTTAAAAAAATGTTAGCCACGCCCACCCAGTCACATTACGTTCCAAACCACGCCCACAGAACCAGTAGTAACAAATTTTACATTTCACCCCTGATCCAAACCTTTTGCTTAAGTGGAGAAAACACTTTTCTCTCTCTTTTTGCTTCTTTTTTCCTACTCCGACAAATAAAGTTGCCAGCAACGGACGCCAAGAATTTGTTCCATCTCTGGTTCCTGATAGAGTTGGATTGACAGCACATATCAGCATAATTGATATCCCCCCCCATCCCCCATTATCACTGTCTCAGATGCCTTGGTCTCAGAAAAGTCTCGTCCATATCTTCTGCCCACCAGGTGACCGATAATAAACATCCCTATTATTTGGAGGGCACCCAAGTATATAATCAAGCCATTGCAAAGTGACTAACCATATATATAATCAGTATTGCTTTTGTATCAAGGAGATAAAGGGGAGTACTATATGAGTAATCATCAGGTTGAAATAATTCTTTGTGTTTTATTGGTGGCTGTCACTTTAGAACAATTTTTGCTGGACATGATAAGCAGCTATAAGGGGGAAAAAATCCACTGAGGTTTCATTCAGTTACCAGCATTTGATATATGGGAACCATAAAATGACATCTGCATCAGCTCTTGATAATGTGGAGTTGTTGATGTCATGGTAGGCATAATCTATGTGCAGTATTTTATGACTGCGCCCAAGAATTTATTGGCACCTCTTTCTTTCCCAGAAAAAAAAAAATCCTTTTTCTGTATTCTGATATGAAGGAGAAATGAATAAGTATCTGGTGTAATTTACTCATTTGACAAGTCTGCTTCCAAGGAGAGGGTTTCAAAATTATTATTGGAGTGTGTGCATTGTGTAGTAGACTGTTGGAAGCTCAGCTATAATTTTGAATAATTCCTTCAGCTTGGCAGTCATATTTCAGCGTCATCCACCCATATGTGCAATAGTCATTAGAAAAAATTGATCAATGTGTAAGCTCCATCTTAAAATATGTCACAGCAGGTAAATTTATTTTCTGAGCATAGGGGACTTTTGGTCTTATTTGTGAATTACCAGGGTATGAAAACTTTTAGATTGGGGCCAGGGGTTCTGCTGGGTTAGACTCTGCAGACGCCTCAAGTTGTTTCCCAAAATAATTGTCAAATATTTTCTTGGAGTGTGTTAACATCTCATTAGAGATAAACTTGTTGCAGGTTCTTATTTCCTATCCCAGGGATGCAGTTGCCTAAGACTGTGCAAATATTAAATTTAAGCATAGCTTTGTCACTAACATACAAATAGCACATGGGACAGTATATTGTTTGGAATCAAGTCCAAGATTATAATCTTGGACTATAATTATAATTATAATTTGGATTATAATTTTACAGATTTCTGTTTTAGAAGAAAATTTAGTATGCTGCTATAATATATTCATTAATACACTAAACCACTTAGGACTGGCATTTGCATTCATCTCACCTATAGGCAGCTTCTTCAATTTTGTGGCAGTTTATAGGCTATTTGGTTCAACTTTCCCATCCATATATTTCTTTTTCATTTTATTTAATTTATATACCGCCCTACTCCCGAAGGGCAGTGAACAGGCACAAGATAAAACACATAGAATACAAAAATTTAAGAGCAGAAGTAAAATCTAATTAAATCAATTTAGCCCAAGACAAATTTAAAACCCCAGGTTAAGAACAAATTAAAAATTACATTAAAATTTACATTAAAAAGAGAATGGCAGAGGTTAGGCCAGACCAGCCTGGTGAAATAAAAAGGTCTTGAGAGCGCGGCGGAAGGTGCGTAGATCCGGGATCCTCCATATCTCTGAGAGAGCTCGTTCCAGATAGTAGGTGTCCCCACAGAGAAGGCTCTCCCCCTGGGGGCCGCCAGCCGACATTGTTTGGCTGACGGCACCCAGAGTCCCTCTCTGTGAGAGCGTACCAGCCGGTGGGAGGCTGTTTGCGGCAGCAGGCGGTCCCATAAATAACCAGGCCCTAAGCCATGGAGCGCTCTAAAGGTGGTAACCAAAACCTTGAAGCGCACCTGGAAGACCACCGGGAGCCAGTGCAGCTCGCGCAGGAGAGGTGTGTGTATATATCTTGTGCGCAGATTTAACAGGAAAAAATTTGCTATGTTCTCAATGCAAATGTCTTAAAACCCTTGAATTTTTAAAAAACTATAGATAAAGTGCTTAATATTAGCCTCAACCATATGGGGATAATAATCTTAAGTGGATACCTGCTATATAGATTATCTGAGATAAAATGTTAGTTACTAGGGTACTTGGCTCTTATACCACTGCATAGTCTTGAGATAAGAGTTCTGCAGTATCATTTTGTATGCATTAATGCATAGAGTATATTTTCATTGCTACAGCTTCATTTGCATCCAAAGAAATTTTATTTTAGTCATTGACCATTAAAAAATGTTTGGCAAAACAAGCAATCCCCTAACATCAATGACTAGCAACGATTTGTGAGTGAAGTCCCAAAGGTGCTTTTTCAAGTTTTGTTTTTCCTTACATTTCCATAATTTTGCTCCATTATGTGTAAGCTTCGCTCCCAAATGTCTACAGAGAATGTCAGTCATCCAGGTCATGGTTGTCCTGAAGGTGCTTTTTCAAAAGTTCTTTCAAAAGCAAAATGTCTTCAAGGAAAAATAAAGTCCAGTTGCCTTTTGAAAAAGCATCTTTGAGACAACCATGATCTGGATGACTGAGAATCTCAATAGACATTTGGAAGTGAAGCTTACACATGACGGAGCAAAATTTTACTACTTTAGAGAGATTTATCCTAGATATCCAACAGATATTGCAAATAAAAATGATCAGGGTACCCCTGAAATATAGATGAAAAGGAGGTAATAATCTGGCCGCAAATATCCCTGTAGAACTCACTATACAAAAGAACACACCTGCCCAATGTATGATTATGAATAATTCCTAATCTATGAATGATAGTGGTGTTTTCAGTGACTTTGGGATCACATTGGCTTATTTACTGAATTTTTAAAAAGTAAATACACAGAATTAGTGCAGAGTTAAAATCATTGTTGAGATATTGGAGCTTTGAGATCAAAATTAAGAATATGCATATGAATATGGCCTTTTTTATTTTGAAAATTTTGAATATTTAACTGTGTTTCAACAACTTGAATGAATGAATATCTAGCCTATTTAACTTACATAGGCTTGTTCCAAAGCAGACTTAATTATATGATATGGAGCAAAATATACTGCATGACCAGGATTTTTAGCTAATGTTACATAATTTGGTCTACTTCAATTATTATTTTTATCCTTTTTAAGTTTTACAGGGGGGAAAAAACAAATGACTAATTATAAAATGTAAATATACAAAAGTTTTATTAGCAATGTGAGATACTTTACAAAAGTAGAGAATTAATTCTGGGGTTTTTGTACAAATTAGGAATCATTTTATTATATTCCAGCAAGCACATTTCTTTCCCGTTTGTGCTACAATAACCATCTCTTTCTTTAAATCCTGCTGTATGAGCTAACTCATTGACTTCCTGCATGTGAGATACTTATTTATCACTCCACTTATTATTCATTGCTGATTGCCTATGAGGCAACAATTTATAGTTCAAGGAGATTAATGCAAGAGGACTAGCAAGGAGGAAACAACCAGTTTTATTTGAATTTGTTAGTGAATTACAGTAGAACAATTTTAAATGGCCCTATGAGACAAGAAGAATGGGCTATTAACATCCAAACTTAAAAGCCTATTTAAAAGCATGTTGAAAAAGATCATTATATAATGCCATAAACATAGTGTGGTTCAAAATTGCATGGAGCTGTGTTTTTTTTCTTTTTCTGAAAGTTACATCTTTTTCTGTCCTGGAATAGTATCCTTTAAAGATGAGTAGAGAGATGCATATTTTTTGTGTTTTTTACGGCTGCTGGTGACATGATGCTGGTAGAATGATGTCACCAAAGGAGGATGAGGAGGATGAAATGTTTAGCTTTTCAGGCAGATTAAGTAACAA